AGTCATGTGAAATGCGTTGTCTTTAATAAATGATCACGGACCAACTTTTTAAAAGCGTACTTATTGGGAGCTTTTCTGATGTCATCGGGCAAGGAGTTCCAAAGGCGTAGCCTGAACTGTGAAGGAGTTACCATAGAACTCGGTGAAATGAACTGGAGTACAGATTTTGTTGTTAGAAGAAGAGCGTAGGACATAGGGTCCTACGCTCTTCTTCTAACATGAGATAATCATGAGATGAGGAAAGATAATGAAATTTACTCTTAGGATAAGAAGGCGAAGATGGATCATTTAATATGGATAAAATTTAAAGGAAATTTCTGGAGTTGCGCCTCTGCCGGATTGTAAGCCAATTTAACTTAGATCTGTATTGCGAAATATGATCATACTTACGAAGCTCAAAGATAAATCTTATATAGTTATTGAGGAGGCGTTCCAGCTTGTTCAGAAGATCTTGGGACAGGTCTGGGTAACACACATCTGCATAATTAATTATGGATAATATAAGTGAATTGACAAGCATGATCTTAGATTTTGTGGGAAGAAAATGTTTTAAACGATACAGAGAGCATAACGTGGCAGTGACTTTACGACTCACATCTGAAACCTGAGTTCTCCAATTCAGCATGCTGTCGATGTGAAGGCCAAGATTTCTAACAGAGTTACTGAACGGAATTGTAGTATTATCATAGTAAATAGGAGGTAAGTCTGTCAAATTAATCTTAGCCAGCATCCTTGAGCTACCCACCAGTATAGCTTGGCATTTCAAAGGATTGACCAAAACTCCATAACGAGTAGACCAATCCTTGTTGAAATATGTATTACAAAGAAAAACTTACAGACTAAAAGGAAGTAGTTACAGTTTTTTTCCTCTGATTATGATATTTGTTTATGTATGCGAATGCGTGCGTGTGCGTTTGCGCGTGCGTTTGTGCGTGCGTGCGTGCGTGCGTGCGTGCGTGCGTGCGTGCGTGCGTTTTTACATTCTATATATTGTTTCGAATATTATCTAGTTCTTTATTGATTTTATTATAAATGTGTGACGAACGACTATTATATTGAGTACTAGTAAACTTAGTTTTAGTTTGGGGTACTGTAACTACATTATTTTTTCTTCTTTTTCCCTTTTTAATTGCATCGTAGGGTACATTTTTGTGTTTATTTAGTGTGATCTGTTTTATATACAGCTTCCTTACCGAAAGTAACCCACTATCGAAATAAAGCCTTTCCGTGGGGCATCTAATATTTTTAAAGTTCATAACTTTAATAAGCGCATATTTCAGTCCCTAGTCCCAATGTCATAGTTACCCACGGCTAAATTCAGTTAAAAAGAATACGAATAAAACGTAATAAAATTTGTAACATTTCAACATTACACATTTGTAACGTTCGCGTAAACATAAGAAAACATCATGTTTTCTAACATTAGAATACACAGTGTAGTGGCGCCATAAGATTATCCACTGCGCTCATGTCGCACTCATGGGTGTCGTAAGAGGCGACAGAAGAAGCCAACCAGGAGATGGGCAGCAGCATCGTCCTGATAACGACTCGAAATAGTTACTGCGGTTGCCCACCCACTTGGCATCCATTGCAAATCTGGCGATTATCCACCTTTGAGGCAATCTATTTTGGACTTTTGATACGTTGTAATAAATTACCAAGCTTGGAATATACTGCAGGCCATGGATACATATGCTGCTGACTCCTGAAAGATAAAAGGCCTCTATTATATTGTATCTCTTGCTTAGTCTACAGTGGCTACTTTACGCTAATGGGATAGAAATAGAATTGTCAACAAAAGAGGTATTTAGTTGATAACTTAATCACCTATTAAAAACTTCATTTAAACCGACGGGGATAGCAGTCAACCTATCTATAGCTATTGGTATATTATGCTTTACGTGAGTTCATTATACTTCAATGTCTATACTCGTAGCTAATAGCCTCCAATAGCCTTGTTATGCATTTGACACGTCGTTCAATTAGCAGAAATCAATCGGGTACTTAGTTTTCACATGATGGAATGTTCGCGGCTATGTATTGTTGAGGGTTATCGTTTTACAAGCATACATGATAATACGCCTGTTTCAACACAAGTATTGTTTTAAACACAACAGCATGAATTCTTATCTGAAATAGCTCTTTATATTCAAAAGTACTCTCTTCTTGTCCAAAGATAACTTAGTCGTATCGTTTCGATGAAAGTCACGTATCCCTACGTAGTAGACTGACGACAACGCATCTGTATTTAATTCCTAGTAGAGGATAGATATAAATGTAATGGGCATGGCAGTCACAAACTATGTCGTCATTAGTATGCTTGTATAAAAATATTATGTTTCATAAATAATTAAAGGTTATCATGAACCAAGTGCCAACGACAAACAAATACACTCTTACTTTAATTACCTATAAATATCCTCCTGACTTTGTGACGTTTTTGAGTTCAGCCAAAAAAGTAAGACCTTTTAAATACATCGACACCTTAACGAAAAAAAAAGCCCTTATTAGCAGAAATATATGTTAAAGAAATACTGAATTTCATTAACATGTATTGCCCACCTATTGTTTTTTTATAGATTTTGTTTATCGTTCGTTCTTAAACATAATACGAGGATATAAAAGTATATTGACAAGCTTTTTCTGTTTTTAGAGGCATCTTTTCGGAAAATGTATGTTAGAATGTTTTCGTTCCGCTTCATAATATATTTTAGGTATATTAACCATAGATAGGTAAGCCTCCGTCACTCGATCGTATCTACCTAGATAAGTATAGCACTAACACTTTCTGGGGGCCTGGCGGTACTCTCGCAAATCGATTGCCATTCGTACGTGCGGAGGGTCGTTCGTATTTCTAACGATTCTCGAATAGCGAACAAGTATAGGTGGTGGAAATTGTTGAGCATTCATGATGACCGGCGACAGGCAGCAGCGTCAAAAATACAATACTTTTGGTACTGCGATAGAACATCCACTGCCAAGCGCGACGATTATGGCTAACTAGGCTTGGTTAAAAAATATCAATATAGGGTAAACCAAGGTATAACTGGCCACTACCAATAACTAGCCACTTAGTACTTTATCTATTTGAAATAAGAATAATGTTTTATTTGCGCCATCAATGAACGTATCAAAAAAATGCCTCGTCATTCACCTTTCGTAGTAGTTCAACTTTTTTCGCTACAGATACTAGCGCCCAAGCAAACTGCCATTTACTGACAGTTGGTGTACGTGTCTCGACATGCAAGTTACTTTACTACGTAAATGTTAGTGGCTAAGTTTTTACAAAATTTAAATTATAGGTGATAATACTTGGCGTTGGTGAAAGAATCGCATATTTCTACATATTTGCTTGGTGAGTTATATGAATCTTTATTTTAATTCTAATAAAATCTTAAATAAGCCGTTATTGAAAGGGTGGCTAGATTCTGAAGTAATTTTTTTGGAAGTTTTTAGTTATTGGCCACGTATGCCAGTTACTAAAGTTTTACCTATTATTCAAATTTCTTTAACAATAACTCGTATTTATGATGTTTTTAAGGTGTAGTATTGTGTATTTTCTTTTTAGCAGAATTAGTCGACTCTGATCAGAAACTGGCATAGGTGGCCGGTTTGTGGCCAGTTACTAATCTATTTTCTTATTTATTTTACAGTTCATTGAAGTGTTAGTAAAATGTCTAAAAAACGACAATACGGCAAAGAAACAATAGATAAGGCTCTAAAATTTATTGAGAATAAAGAGGGTTCAATTCGACAGGCGGCAAAACAATTTGGTGTGCCCAGAAGTAGCCTCAATTTAAAATTAAAAATCCTGACACAAAAGTTTAAGTCTGGACCAGATCCAGTGCTAACTGAAGCTGAAGAAAACAGTTTATGTGACTTCATCATACAACTATCAAAGCGTGGCTTCCCAAGAAAGAAAGAGGATATCCAATTATGTGTCCAGAATTTTTTTGCAACAAAATCCGAGACCCAACCCTTTCCGAGACAACAAACCGGGAGATGTGTGGTTTAAGGCTTTCCTGAAAAGACATCCTAATATTTCTATTCGAACATCAGAAGGAGTTACCAATGCAAGCGCTTGTGTTTCTGAACAGGATATTAGGAAATGGTTTCGGGAAATAAAGCAGTATTTTGACGAGGAAGAACTAAATGACGTCATTCAAGATCCCATAAGAGTATTCAATGCCGATGAAACTGGATTCAATATTTGCTCGAAAACAGGCAAAGTATTGGCTGAGAAAGGGTGCAAAAATGTGTACCAGATAGAAAAAGGATCTTCTAAAGAAAACATTACAGTTTTATTTACGTTTTCTGCTGCTGGACACGTCTTTAGGCCAATGATTATCTGTCCTTATAAACGGATACCTGACCGAGTTTCGTTGAGTGTGCCATCTGGTTGGGGAATAGGGCGAAGCGACACAGGTTGGATGACTGCAGCAGTTTTTTATGATTATATCTCTAACTGCCTGCACCCACAAATTTTAGAAAGTAATATCCCACTACCAGTAATTCTATTTGTCGACGGACACAAAACCCATATAACCATAGAAATATCAGAACTATGCCGCCGTCTTCAAATACATCTAATAGCGCTTTGTCCAAACGCAACTCGTATACTACAACCAGCAGATGTCGCAGCTTTTCGCCCAATAAAGGTAGCTTGGAAGAAGGTACTGCGCGATTGGTACGCTGCGAATAATTACGAAAATAGTCTGACCAAAGAAACCTTTGCTCCACTCTTAAAAACAGTTGTAGACTCGTGTTCTAAGAAAGAGACATTAATAAATGGATTCAGAGTAACCGGTTTATGTCCATTTGAACCAAATAATGTTGATTTTAGCAAGTGCATTGCAAGGGTAAACCAACCCGATGATACACCCACGTCAGAAAAAAATGTTAAGCATAATATGAATGTGTTGACCTATTCAGAGTTTTGTAACATTGTGGGTGAGTCAATTCTTGAAAAATGTCGAACAGTCTCTTCCATTTTAAGTCAGATGATAACTTTTTTTGCAATTTACAATTTATGGCAAAGATTTGAGGCTGCATCGGAAAACAATAATAATTATAGAATTAATAATGACGTGGACCGTGGCCCTTTCGACAAACCGACCAAAATCGTAGAAGACAATTATGTGACTGATATTATAGAAGATGACGAAACCCCTAGGTCGATTCTTGATGAATTTACAGGTGAGTTAATAAATAAAAACGAAGAAAGAGAAGATGAAAAGAAAGAAGTGTATAGCGAGCCGACACTTCAGAATAATTTAATAGAACGTAGTCTCACTCCGCAGCCTAGCACGTCAAAACAAGTCACATATTCGACGGTTTCCATAATTTCTAATGTATCTCTAACTGAATACTTGAAACAAAACTTACCATTATCACCTAAGCGACAAGGAAAGCGCCAAATAGAAAGACTGCCATTTGCTTTAACTTCAGACCAATACGTGGAAAGAATAAAAGCAAAACAGTTAAAAAAGATTGAAGAAGAAGCTGCAAAAGAGGAAAGAAAGAGACTAAGAGAAGAAAAGAAGAAGGAAAAAGAAAACAGTATACCTAAGAAGAAAATCAAGAAAAAAAGTGATGGAAAAAGCAAAACAAAGATAATTGAAGAAGATATATGCAAAGAAAATACTGAAAATACATATGAGGTTAATGAACAAAAAAGTTTTTTGTGATTTTTGTTCGAATCTCATTACAAGTAGGGTTATTGAATGTAACCAGTGTAAAAAACGGTTTCATTTAAATTGTATTCCGTCATATCACAGACTCCATGTACCTGTGGAAGATGAGGATCAGTTTTTGTGCCACATTTGCTATCGAGAGAGTAATACTGACTCATCTGACGGTGATTATGATGCCATGTTTAGCTCTGCTTGTGAAGAAGCACGAAAACAAGGCTTCGGTTCAAACTTTATGCTATAAAACTATATTAATTTTAAACTTGTTGATTTGTTGTTCGTGTGAATTAAGAAAGTTCCTATGTCGTATTATTTTTGATCTCATATTAATATTACGGGTAAAATTTTTGATTTATTGTCTAACATAATGAATGTTGTTTTGTTTAAAGTTTATTTTTTTTATATTCCTTTGTATATAGTAGGATGAAACAGAGGCTTATTTCATGTGGCCAATTAATAGTTTAATGACGGCCAGTTTCTAAAATTAGTGGCCAGTAACTACCAAAACTGATAGTTTTTTGATTTTATTAAAATTTGATACAAAATATTGTTTTGTTTTACTTTTAAAATCCCGAATTATGTAAAATAATGTGCATATTATTTAGTGGCATTGCAATAAATCTAATATAATAACTTATTTTGACATAATTAAAGTCTGACTTTGTGAAAGTGCTTAAGTGGCCAGTTACTGGTGGTTTTACCCTACCGAAATATAGATAATTACTCACAAAATCATCGATATTTTCTGTCGATATTTTAATCGCGATATATCGATATTCGATATTTGAATCGAGTTTTGAAACCATAAATCGCTAAATTTTCAAAAAAAATCAAATCAATCTAATTTCAATCATGTTGCACAATAACTCGAATCTAAATGCATTTAGTACATTTGTAATAGTGAGAGATTCATTCCTATTTACATTGATATGCATTTTTATCTGTAATATACTTTATTATTCATACATATACCTATTTATATCTAATATATATAAAAAAATTGTTTGTTCGTATTTAATGCGCTAACATACCATCCATCTGATTACGCTTAAAGGACATTGCTCCGCACCCATATATTGTTAGCCCTGGAACCAATAGCATCGGAAAATTGTGTGTTGTAATGTCGATCATTAGGGATTTCTTATATGATCTTATTTTTGTAGCGGACTAGCTGCAGAAAAATATATTTCAAAAAAAGCATCACATTTTGAGGTTATAATATAACAACTAATATTATGGTTTTTATCGTTTAGTACGATTTTTAAGAAACAGAAAAGCAATATACTGAAACATTTACCAATATTTAGTACCGTCTTCCAACAAAATAAAACGTCCAGCAATTTACAAGCCGTAATTTACACAAAATACACTTTCCATTGAATATGCGCAACAAAGAGAATATAATCACTACGTTTAAGAGGCGGGACACCCTTAGTAAAAGTAAATGTATGAAAGGCACTGACCTCTATATATACAAGTACGCTGGACTGGCTATACCATAGAAAATGTCTGTGCCAATTCGAAGCATCCCTAACGGTCGTCTTGGAAACTAATATTGACATAATATGCCAGTCTGTTGTCGTATTTAAATTCTCCTAATTAAAAAAAATCTGTGTTTTGAACTTTTAAACTAAAAAACAAAAGTATTTTATGTTGTTTGATTGTGTATAATATTAGTTAAATAATAAGAATTATTTTTAATAATAATGAGAGTGTGCGTAATCTGTAAAACTCGTTACCAAAAGGGAAGTGGTATAACATTTCACAAATAAGTGAATTTGCAGCTAATATTAAACAAATTAAAACCAATTGGTAATATGAATACTTAAAAATTTGTTACTAATCTTAATATCAAATATACCAACATGTTAGGCTGCATATTACTGAGTTTTGATAAACAATAAAATTCAATAGTCTATAATACTTATCGATGTACTTTCCTATCCATAACTGTTAACAAACAAAGTCGAAAATAACAGATGATTATCAAATGTTTATTAATTAACAGATTTCCAACTGAATCTAGACTAAAATTATGGCTCAAAAACATAAATATTGTGAATTGGCATCCGAAACAAAATGATCATACTTGTTCTGAACATTTCACAGACGACTGTTTTAGACATGAGAACTGCACCACTTTGAAAAAGTGTAGTATTCTGACAATATTTTCTAGTAGTACCAGTACCAGTAAGTATTAAAATATTAGATTATGTTTTTCTTTATTTCTTCTTTCCTCATTTTTCCACAAACTCAAGGGTCATAGCCAAGTGTAGAAAGGTTGCCTGATGATGTTGAACCACGTTGGATGAGTGTTAGTGGGCTGCGGCTAGAGGAGATTCCTCTCCCTGTACCGCTGTAGTCGACGTGGAGTCGTCAGGGAAGAGGAGTGTTGGTATGGCGATTGGCGATGCGATGCAACTCGACTATCCTTCGCGACTTTGGTGAGGCTGCACTACTTGATGCTTCTAAGTGCTCGTTTTTTCCTGGCTCCATTCACATATCGGGCTTGGGGATTTCGTAGTGCAGGCGGAGTCAGAGGAAGTCAGAGGTAGAACACCATGGGGTTTTAGTAAATGCGAGTCTAGAGATTCAATTCTCTCTCGAGTCTCAAGATTTAATTTCTGCTTTCGTAGTGACCCTACTTTCGTTTATTTCTTATTTATAAATTCTAGCCATTGTTTACATGCAGGGTTTTCGGCAGCTTCCTCTTGTGCCACATCCACCGACAAAGGCAATTAAATGTTCGATCAAGAACCCATAGATTGCGATATGTCAAGCCCCCTAGAATACGTGGCACTGCTAAAGCTGGAAAGCTTAGGAGGTTAGCTTAGGAATAACGATATCGGCAGTAGAACCAGAGTGACTGATCCCACTCACCCAACGGATTAGTAAGCTGTAATGGCAATTGACCGGCCACATAGCTCGAAGAACCGATAACCGATGGGGAAAAAAGTTTCTCGAGTAGCAGCCTCGTACCGGCAGGTGAAGAAGTGTCGGAATTTCCCCCACTAGATGGAGTGAAAACCTGGTAAGACATACAGGAAGTTGATGGATGCAGGTGGCTCAGGACCGTGGCATTCCTTGGGGGAGGCCTATGTTCAGCAGTGGACTTGTGAAGGGCTTAAATGATGATGAATGATATTGGCATTATATTATTATGATACATAAATAGAATAGACGTTATGGGTAGAGTCCATCTATCCATAGAGTCCATTCTATTTATTTAGGTGTAGGTAGGGTATAGAACTTTTATCGATATATTTTGTCACATTGTTTTCCCTGTTATTAGTTCCGTGGACGTGCACTTCTGCTGTCAGCGCCAAAATGGCGCAAATCAAATTGCCTCATCATGTCACGGTGTATAGCCAGTCCAGTGTACTTGTATATATAGAGGTCAGTGATGAAAGGGCGCAAAACTACTCTACCAACATCAAGACATGACATTTATTTTTTGCATAAAAGTGCTGACAGCATATGCGAATTATACTAGTGTTGTAAATATCAATCCACGAATAATTTTATCGATATAATGTTTACCTACATATTGTTTATCGTAATTTTTATCTAATATAAGTTAGATCTACATACTAATTTATAAGAAACAAAGTTTTTACGTGAGGATTGATTAAAAATGCCGGTGAGGATAGGAAATCAATGTATTTTACACACACATACACACAGCAATTTGTAATTATATCTCTACAATTATTAGGTACAAAAATATGTATGAAATAATCATAAAATAAACAACACATAATTATAATAGTAATTAATAAGTTAAAAAATAAATTTCGTAGCGCAGTGGTTAAGCGTTTGACTGCAGCAGTGCAGGACCGAGGATTTGTTTCCGCACTAAACATATCTTGAAATATATATATATATATATATATATATATATATATATATATATATATATATATATATATATATATAAAACCTTGAAAGTATTTTAAACATTAAAATGAAGGAAATATTACTTAGGCTGATTTTTTACGAAATGTCTACAATGTATATAAGTTTATTACAGTTGTAGTTCAGTTAGTTAAAAAGCTCACCTAGGTTATTTTATTTACTTTATATTTTAGATTTCCATCCAAAGATAATCTTAAACAGCAATGGATAATATATAATAATAGTACAGCCGTTTCAGCGTGAAAAAATAACACATACACAGTACATACTTCGCGTGGGATAAGGTCAAGAAGAAAGAAAGAACACACAAACTTTCGCTTTTATAATATTAGTGAAATTATTAGGATTATTATTATAGTAGGAGTAGGACTTTTTTTACAATAATATCGGTATTTCAATAAAAAAATAGATGTAATTACAAGACGATTCACAAAATTAATCTTGAAATAAATACTCCCTGGTACAAAATTTCTGAGTACGTCCCCTTACATCCTACACCAAGCGTAAGGTAGCTAAATTACATTGCATCATCGATATGGAACGATGCCAGTAGTTTTACTATTTACCGGAAGATGAAAAATAGTTAAGTGGGCGGTGCTTAATACCCCCTCACCCCGCAAATTGTCACGAGTTGTTACATAGTGAAATCTAATTATAACACCTCGTCTTTGTATTTGCTCCGTGAGTTAGAAGTAAACCACGCACTTTTCTAAGTCATTATCAGAAAACATAAATAATAAGAAAATAGAAATAATTAGTTTTTGTTTACTTCAACATTATTCTTATTACCTATTTATAATCGAGTATGACCTCATTAATTATGTATAGTAGGTTTTTTAAATTATAATTTTAGGGAATAACAAAAAGGAATAGTGATTGACTGTTTTTATTGTACTTTCTATTTACACTTTATTCAAAATAAATTCAAAATGTGATTCAGTTTCAAAATATGCAACAATTCATTAAAATTCCAAAGATCGATTACAATCGATTGGTCGTCCCTAGTCGTTTTTTACACATCACGTGACGTTTGGCGAAGATGGCAGTGATTAATGTTGTAAGTCGAATAGACTGCCCTGATA